AAAGTAGCAAAAAATTTTAAAGCAAACGGAAAAAAAAATTAAATTTACAAAACAACAAAAAGCCAAAGCGTGGGACGACCAGCGCACACACTCTCATTGCTCCCGTAAAGCAAACACACACAGGGAAAGAGAGAGAGAGGTTGCCCACTCAATGCAATGGAAACAGAAACAGTTACGGTGCTCCGCCCATGCAGCCAGGCAGGACGGCAGCGGTGCGTGTCGTGCAAAAGAGAGCACCAACGGGCCTGCATGGGTGTGCATGCATATATACAATGGGCACATTATGTGTGTGCCTCGTGGGGTGAGGTGAGGGCGAGAGTCCATGCAAGGGGAAACACACAGAGAGAGAGAAGGACGAGTGTGTGTGCGGGTGGTGCATGGCTCTCTCTCCCTCACTCTCACGCGGCCACCACCGCAGCAGCAGCCGCACACGCAACAAGAAGAAGAAGCAAAAGAGGGGAGGTGGTGTGGGAGACCGCGGTGCTGCCGTCACTGTCGCCAGTCGTCGCCGTCGTGGTTTTTATTACTGTGGCTGCGACTGGTGTTTCCTTCGGATTGGCTTCTTTATTTTCATTTTGTTTTTCTTCTTGCGTTACTGCACCATCAGCTGCTGGATCTTTGTCGCCAGTTGTTTGAGTGCTTTGGGGTTTTGTTTTATTCGATGCTTCCTCCACACGAGAAGATAAAATTGGATCTTCCTGACCGCCTTCTGAAATCCTCTCTGTAGTGCTGGTATCATCTTTTTCTTCTTGCTTTTTCTCTTCCTCCGTCTCTTCTTTTTTCTTCTTGCCATCATCCACTTCTACTTCATCTTCCTCTTCCTCTCCCTCTTCCTCTTCCTCGTCTTCCTTTTCCTCATCCTTCAATTCCTCATTATCAGCTTTATCTTCTTTTTTCGTCGTGTTCTTGTTGTTTTCCGTCGTTGCATTTGCCGTTCCTGACGCCTTTGCTGCGGGTTGTAGTGCCGATTCCGCTTCAATTCCCGATACAGGCACCGATCCTGCTGCTGGTTGTGTAACTGCCGGTTGACCGGTTGGGCCACCTCCTCCAACGTTATCAGTTGTGTTGTTTTCACCTTTACGTTTATTGTCTTCGGGCTCAGTACCCGGAAGGGCTGGAGCTGCTTCAGAACATCCACCACCGCAGACACCGCACCACAGCACACAGAGGGCACATAGCAACAGCAGGCGGCCAGTCACCATCATCATCACGGCTGCACACACAGTCTAGAGAGGGGCAAAGAGAGAAGGATGAGAAGAACACACACACGCATCAGCAGCATGGAGAAGGAGTGGTGATTACATGAGGGCTGTTGTCATGAGCATGGA